AAATTATGAGGTTCCATTCTTTGCCAAGTCCAGATGCCCCTGAGCGGGACAGGAATCTACTAATAGATTAAAAACACACCGGAGATGGTAACAGATGTGACATATGAGGCAAATCTGATAACGTCATTTGAACTTTTTAATCACTTTTTATGCGTTGCATAATTTCTTTTTATCTCTAATTTATTTCTTAGAGGAAATAACAAAAAATAATAAATAAACAAGTATACAGCACAAGTTTTTTTAGTTCCACTATTATGACATCAAAAAGAGCTTACCTTTTCTTACTTAAAACAACAAACCCATAAAAATATATAAAGTTCTTACTTTTCCAAAGGTATAACATAAGAATTACATTGCAAAATAATATATATATATATATATATATATATATATATATATATATATTGACTGTGTTTGCTTAAACTTTTAGAAAGAAAAAATATATATTTTTTACATAAAAAAAGCCTCCACGATTGAGGCGTTAAATCACACTTAGTATCGTGCAAAAAAAAAATTCTAAAGAAAATGTATAACATGTTATGTAATTTCGATTTAACTGAGGAAGATGCCGTGCCGTGTAACTATATACCTAAAAATAAAATAAAATAATTGGCAGTTTGCTTTTCCGGGTCTCCATCTCTCCCTATCATTTGGCGCCAAACCCCACTAGAATACGGAAAATATTTGGTCTCAATTTCCCGCCAAAAGTTCCGGGCAGTTTGGGCAGGCAAAAGTTTTGGGGCCTGGGCTGCCTCGGGCTGGGCATCTCGGGGGGTTTAAACCGCGTAAAACCTAAAAGAGACTGCCCTAATTAGCGGGCCAACGTTTTGGGAGTTGGGCTGGGCGGAACTCAAAAAAACCTCTCCTGTACGGTCCTGTCCTGCATTTTAATTTAAAATTTTTAATTTTCACCGCCATTTATTTTGAGGATCTCTTATTGAATACAATTATGTTACGGCTTGGAGTAGGGATGGGCAATTTGTCTTGTAGGGACAGGTATTCGTTTCGGCTTGTTTATAGTGGTTTTGGGAGTGGTTTTGGGAGTTTGGACGTGGATGATTTTTATTAAATAGTGGGTTCTGGCAGGGACAGGGGAGGTCACCCCACCTCGCCCCGTTCCGTTTAAGTAGATAAATTATTAAATTATTTTTATTTTATTAGTATATTTAGTTAGCTTTAGAAATCTTAAGTAACATTCACTCTCTTTCTCAATCGTTTAGTGAGCCTTACGAACTAAGAATACTTTTATCCCTGAATTTTATGTTAAATTTAGGAACGGAGCCAATTAAGGCCTAGAGGGGCACGTGCATAAGTACATATTTTTTGCTATATACATATACTTATATTCTTCAAATACACCATACATTTTTCCTTTTCTAATTTTTGTTTCCTTTTTCAAATTTTTTTTTTTTTTTTTTACTTATGTATTTTTTATTTTTTCCACTTATTTCTTTTTATCAATGATATTTGTGATTGTATTTAATTAAAATATTATTAATCAGTATTTTGATTGTTATGTTTGTAACTATATATTTTTTATAGTATTGTTTAGCGTATTGTTTTACAACTATTTTTTTTCTTGTTTGCCTTTGATTTTAAAAAGTTATATTTGTTATATTTATTGATTTTTTTTTAACAAGGGCATTGTGCCTCCTCTGAAATAAAATCCTGACTTCGCCCTTGATTAAATTATTGATTGCCAATTTTTTATGATTTTTTTCAATAGTTATATAATTGTATTTACGAAAAAAAAAAAAATTAAAAGGAAAAATTCTGGAATTAAACGAGACGGGACGAGTGCCCGAGGGAGTAAAAGAATTAAACGGGGCGGGGATGGAGTGGAAAGGTATCCCGTTTAGGCGGTTTTGAGCAGGGACAGGGCAAGGGTTTCTAAACGGTTGTGGGAGTGGGGGAGGATACACCCGTCCAAAACCGCCCCTGTTGCCATCCCAAGTTTAGAGTCTTAAATTTGAAATTAAAGATTTAATTTAAATTTTGAACTAAATTTTTTTTAATTTCAAAATCAGGCTAACAATCTGGTAAACCTAAACATAACATTAATGAAATTTTAAAGTAAATATAATGAAAATTAAAGTATAAAATTGCATCATTTTGATAAGTGAATGATGTTGTACATTTTGCACCGTTCAATATGCATCATGGAGTGCTTAAACCGCGTAAAACCTAGAAAGACCCCATTAGTAGTTGGTGGCCTTTGGCTTTGAAAAGGGTAACTAAAGGGAAGAGCTAACAGAGTTCTTACGTTATTATTCCCAGTTAGAATCTTCCCCTTAGGATTCCATCCAACACCATGTGTATATGTCTCTATCTCTCTCCCTCTCTCACTCACACACACACACATAGGATTCCTGATGTTGGTTCAACTCTATAAGCAAAAGTCCTCCAATTAAAACTCTTTACATTTATCTATATGCATCTAATGATCTATATATTCCCCAATGTAGTTCCTTTTTGACTTTGAATTTTTCAAATAAGCTGACTTGGGCTTTTACTTTCTTCTTCTATGTATTATCATCTTCATGTGGTTCATAAAAAGAAGAGGAGTTTACTTATGGTTATGACTTATGTTCCTACTATTTTGTAATCAAATAGTCTAGAAAAATTAATGATATGCCTATACTTCAAATAGCTTAGACATAAATAGTGATATTCAGCGATGAATTTGACCTGACGGATGTCCTTATATTTACTAAAAGCCTTCGATCAAAGAAATCTGTCAAACTCTTCAACTTTAAGATCATTTTCCAATAAATAATACACACTAGTTTATTACCATGTCAAGATACCACATGGTCATGGGACAATGATACTCTGTTTTCTTTGTCAACAAATATTACAGCAAAACCCCAAGTTAACTCCATTTGTTCCGGAAACCCTTCAACATTATGAATGCCCTAGTCAATGACTCAATAATGCAAGGGAGGGTAGCAAATATTACAATTATTTGGCTAAAGTACAAGGGCATAGCTGGCATTGGGCATTCTGTCTCTACTCAAAATCCAAATAAGAGAGATTCTAATGTTGGAGCTGTACAATATCCTGTTGGGTAAAAGCCATCAGATTTATTGATTTCAAGAATAGTAGAGATATGAAGTTTTCCTATTGCCATTATCAAATTAGATGATTTTCACAAGCAAATAGCCAAGTTTTCTATTGATTTACTAGCTTAATAAAATGTAAACTAACATTCGAATCGTAAAAGCATAAACAATGGATACGACAATAATGTTAAATGTTGGGTTTTTCTCCAATCTTTCAGCCCAGCACCCCAGATAAACTAGACCTAGATTAGGTATGTAATTTTATGCTTGGTAGTGTAGCATTCTTGAATGCATTACGACATAATTTACATACAAAACTATATGAAAATTCACAAAAACAATTGACATGTAATCTAGACAACAGTTAGACATCAAGTTGGAAAAAACTTTTTACACCGAAACCCTCACACAGGTTTGTGGGACCCACATACCACAGTGTGTGTTGGTCCTATCCAACGTCGCTGCGAATAGCAAGACTGAATCAAGTTTTGTGGTTACTATATTTCACATGTATCATACATCTAGATTACACATTATTGAACAGGAAGAGGAAAAGATAAAAGACAGCATTGGTTGTTCCCTAGAACGTAGCAATTGGGGTGAAAAATGAAAAAAATAACATAAGCTTAATTTAAAATTCCGTTGAAAGAATCCAATGAAGACAACCTACGTCATGTGTATCCAATTACACCTTTAAAATAAACACAGTAGGTAAATCAATCCAAAGTGACCACCGCTATGAGGCCTTAAATTTAATAACTTCTGTTGCAAATTGCTATCTTAAGCAGTACTGATCCCTAGGAAACCTTTTTTTTAAAATAAAAAAAAAAATTGTTCCAAAGGGACTACTATCACGTTAGGTAAAATTCCTCTCATCACCTTTTAAACAAATCCCTTGTTTAAACAAGCAAAAAATATCATGTCAACTGCAAGATAATCAAAGGAGTGTTTGGTAAATACATGACAAGTATGGATTGATTCTTGTGACTAGTCCAAAAAAAAAAAGTACATTAAAATGGTCAAACTAAATACCAAGTCTTTGCGGTCATCATCAAGTGTCATGACACATTTAATTTGGACCGTGCACCAAACAATCCTTAAACCTCACATAGGATTCTAATTTCTCATAACTGTATGTGTGCGTTTGTCCAATTTTAGCTGGGTAGCAACCACGCATTAAATGACACTTGGTCTTGCCAATAGAGGTTCAGATGAGGTGGGAGAGGCCAGCTATAATAGTATTGTGCCACAACACTAGACAATCACAATCACTCTCACTCGTGTGTCACGATCAAATATGTGAATAACTATTATAGTCCGTTATAGACTTGCAATACAACACGTGTTGTACTTCAAGATCTGGACTAGAGGTGGGAGAAGTAGAGCCGGCACACAGTGGAGCATGAATAGTGGTTTCTGGGGGCCAGGTAGGTTGTGAGAGATTTGTGTTTGTCAATCAATATGTTATGCATGAGGGCAGCGTCACAGCCATTAGAAAGACATACCTTTACATTTTTGGCCAACTTTTGTTCACTATTCTAGTAGCCTAGATTATTGACTTATATGTGGAGTATGGAGACCTAGCATCCAATGCACGTGTATATTATATATGTATATTATATATATATATATATATATATATATATGTATAGAGAGAGAGAGAGTTGAATGCAATAGCAAAAGGTATGGAGGTGTAGAAAATGAGGATTCTTAACATTTTTAGCTTAAAATACCTAAGCTAACTAATAATCAGAAAAAAAAAGGGGACAAAGAGCTGATGAGCAAAGAAACTTGATGAAAGAAGCAATTTGAAGAACCCTGTCTATATATGGGTCACTAAACTTTAACAAATTGTATTATTTGTGGAAAGACAGAATGCAAATGGCAAAAATTAAAATATATATGGTTTTGCACACTTGATAACCATGTAACAAAGCTTCTAACATTCACAATTGCAAAAGGCATTTCAAAGTGAAAACAAATCTCTTCCATTACAGAGTACAAAAATGATGAAACATTCAGAACCTACTCATTAAGCAAATCTCTTGAACTAAACTAGAATACCCATTCTATAAATATATATATATAGATATATTGTACATATTCATCTCATCTAATCTAAAATCTAAACAACTAAAACAGAGAAACCCGAAAAACCAAAAACAAACCAAAAAAAAAAAAAAGAACACTATGAATCATAACGCTCTAATCTGGACTCAATTTGCACTCTCAACATGGCGTACAAATACCGACTCCAAGTCCGGAGGAGTGAAAAACTCCCTAACACCATTGTAATGACAGGTCGACGCAGGTCGGCGCTTTCTCGGGGCAGGCGGGCACCGCAAGCTCTTTGGAATCCTTGATTCTCTAGTCGTTGGGGTTGTCGACCGTTCATTGTCGTTGTCATCGCACTCTTTCTCTTCTGCCCTAGTGCTTATCGATCTCAACGGAGCACATATCGCGATTCCAGCAATCACCCATTTCTTGCCTTCCGATTCTAGGCTGCCGTTTGGTTGATGCTTTTTTGAGAAACCCATATCTAATCCAAACCAAAAACAGAGTTTCTGGAATGAGGTTAAGAAACCCAAGAGCTTTTCTTAGAAGGAAACAATCTTCAGTTTTTCTGATGACCTAAAAGAAAGGGAAAGCAGAGGAACACCGAAGTGAAATAAAAGATGGGTTTTGATTAGAAAATCAGTACAAATCAGAAAACCTAGTGAGAGAAAATGGGGTTGAGAGAGAAAGAAGAAGGAATAAGCTAAAAGGGTCTTTGTTAATTTCTCTGATTTTATTGAAAGGGGGGAGGTGAGAAAGGAGATGAAGACTTTGAATGAAAAGAGGGAGGGCGGCGAAAAAATGAGAAGAGAGTTAGAGAGAGAGAGAGAAAAGGGGGTGCATATGAATCCAATATGAAGAATTTCAGAGAGAGATGGGCTGCCCGGGAAATATCGGGCAGCTCAAACCGAGTGAAATTGAGATTTTTGGCGCCAAATTTTGGTGTTTTGGTCAGCAACGGCTCTCTTTCCCGCCCTAATATTTCGATTCCCGATTCTAACCTTGTCACACAAACATATTTTCAGGGAAAAGAATGCTTTGCTGGCATACCTTGGTTAACTTCCCAATAACGATGTCGTTTTTATAATGGACTAGCTAAACTGGGCCGGATCAATCCAACTAAGGGACGAGGTTAAAGACCTATCACTTGGGCTTCGGCATACCCAGCCCCACTTTCTTAGACCATAGTATCAAATGGACTTTATTTATTTATTTATTTGTTTTCAAAATTAATAGACGGGTTAAGCTTAGCTAAATTATGTGAAACCCAGTCCAACAAAGAATATGACTGGGAAGAACTGGAACAAATAAACCCTTGGAACATCTCCTTTTTGCTGATTTTGGAACTGTGAAAGCCTAGACAAAATATAGAATTGTGTGTAAAAAATTATTAAACATGAGGAAAATCTACATTCAAAAACCTGAAAATTATGTTTGGTTACATAAAATTTGTGTTTTTGAAATAAGGATTGGAGAAAAAATAATTTAAAATTTTCGCCACGTACATACTATTTGTACACAATCGTCGGAGATCACGTAAGACCCACGTAGTCCAATGATTTAACTTATTCAGTCACAAAAGCACTTTCATATCCCATTATCCTCTCCCCCACACTTAATGGCTGCATTTATCATACCCAGCGGTGGGGTTGGGACGGCTGCCGGCATAACGCAGCCAGAGTGGAAGATAGGCTGCCACGTAAGCCATTAGCTAGACTTCAAATTATTCTGATCACAAAGTTGTCCTTCCACGTTGGTTGTCTCCAGCGGACCCAGCACAACCCATTAAAATTGCTGACCTTAACAACCCGTCATCCAGCGTGTCAATGAGCATCCATTTCCAACAAACAGTCCCCCTTCAATAAAACGGTAGCCAGTAGCCGGTGGTCCTCCTTAATCGAGATTAACACATGCCAAATTTTTGACATTAGGCATAAACTGATTGTAATGAAGAGTCAAGTCTGTATTGGATTCTCAGCAACATTTTACAAAGAGTCCCTCAAATTGTAGGTATCTCAATTCTCACGCACTATGGTCAGAATACATAATTTAAGTCATATCAGGTGGGACCAAACCCACCGTCCTCTACCCAAACCAAGTCTATTCTTTTAAGGTGGGACGGTGATATTGCAACAACTTTTTCAAGGATTAATCGTTAAATGCAAGTATGCATGATGGGGCAACATTTTCATATTCCAAGGAATATACTAGTCCTCCACAAAATAGCAAATCGACCATCAAAATCTAAAACCAGATTAAGCCCATATTGAAGGAAAGACAACCCTATTAATTGGCATTATTAATGGGGTGCAATTTGATTTATCAAATTGTTACTTTAAAACTTAATCAAATGTCGGTATGATGTCTTATTTGACCAAACACCATTTCATTTAATGAACTGGGACTTTATAGTCACTACTATTCCTAGCATATTAATAACGTAATTATAATTCAAGAATGGTTGAAGCATCTATTTAATATCTTTTGTAAAGGAAAACTTTTCATTATTGTTCTAAGAGAATTACTATCATCTTCTCTGCACTGATTATCTAATATGAGGTAAGGTCACTTTGCATATAAAATCCATGAGAGTAAGGATAGGATCATATACTCCGTTAAGTAGAGATTGATTCTCGTCACAAAATGATACTCCCTCAATTCTACAAAGAATGTTTATTTTTTTTTTTTTTTAGGTTGTCCCAAAATAATTATTCACTTTTTTTTTTTCAAACAATATATTTTACTTATTTTCATATATGTTTTTGGAATTTAAAATTTTAAATTTAAATATTCAAAATTTTAAAAGACAAGTTAATAACTTTTTAAAAAATAATACATGATTCTACATGACCCTTAAAATTTTTTACTCCTTAAAAGTTTTTCCTCCCAAAAAAACATTCTTTTTAGGTATAATTTTCGCTTCTGACAGGGTAGAGAGAATCCAAGTCTAGTCCACAATCCATGATATGAGAGATTCCAAATTCGTCCAAAGGTGGTGATTGTGCCACATCATCAACATTAAGGTCTTTTATTTTTATCATCAATCAACATTAAGGTGACGATGTGACAATCAACACAAAAATTCTTTAGACTTGAGATTATTGCCTCACATGGGACCTATTTAAGTGGCCAAGGACAGTTACGGGCACGTTGCATGCTATCTCCATCCTTTTTTTAGTTACTTATTTTTAATTTTATAAATTTTTAAAAAAACATGTAATTAATATATTATTTTCTTTTTAAAATTATCAAATTATCCTTTTTAATTTAAATATATATATAGTTACAAAATTTAAAATTTTTTAAAAAGATAAAGGATAATGACAGAAATATAAAAAAAAAAATACTTTGATTTTTTTAAAAGAATAATTAATTTAAAACATATAAAAAGAAAAAAATAAAATATTAATAAGAAACGGAGGTAATACAACAGAAGCCAGTAAGCCAACTCAACTCATCCAGTGAGTCGATCATAATATGACGACAGTGGTCATAGTCCACATCTCATTTGATTAAGCCTCACCGCATATGTAAATCCACGTGGAATAAAAAGAATGAGTTTGACAGTGACAAAAAATCACAGCTCCTCTAAGAATAAAATAGATACGGAGTATATTACAGCTATTTTCCACGACTTCTTGCTATCGCAATATTACGATCCACCAATTTAGTTCCCAACTATTACAAGTAAACCATAGCTAAATACTAAATAGACATAAAGAATAAAGAGCCTCTTTAAGTAAAGAGTTTCCATATTTAAATTCTGTTATTGAGAATTAATAAAATTAAAACCTTTTTGAAAAAATTTCTGGAAACAGGCCCCTGAGATTTTGAAAGAAAAAACTTTTATGTTCTCAAATAACTTATATTAAAAAATGAGAACCCTATCCATTTTTGTTATAATCAACTGGATGAAGCACAATTAATAAATGGTTAATTTATGAGAACGTGACATTATTTCTAAGAGACTCGAACCCTTAGAGAAAAAATAATAATAAAGATAGTAAAATCACTTAATACATACATATATATATATATATATATATATATATATATATAGTTTTATTTCTAAAAGTATTAGGAAACAAGAACAAGTGAAGTCAGCCTAGGTTAATCCACGTATGGGCGGCGAAGGAAGACAATCAAATTTTGTTTTGGTCGGTTTGATTTAGATTGTTTTTTTGTTGTGATTTGCAACTTTCTTGCACATGCACATATTTGCAGTGACATTACATTGTGACACTAATAAAATAATACTACGCATACACAAGCACATACGCACACATGCTCCAAATCAATAACATGGTATGGTTGGACATTATTGACTTAAATTCCTCCAATTGTGGCTCTAGATGATTTTGCCACGTAGACGGTTGACGTGGACATCAAGACTTCCAACTTATATAGGCCCCGTCAGCTGTACCATTGCCGCCGTCCACGTAAGCCCAATGACCCACCCAGAAAAAAATCAACCTTAAAACAATAAAATGCCACGAAAAATAGCGGGCAACATGAACTCGATGTATCCTGACAGGGACAGAAGTTGGCCTTGAATTATCGGAGAATTGAGGTACCTTTCCCACTAAATGTATACATATTACTATCTAATTATCATATTTTAGTCTTATTTATAACCCATAAGAAATTATCAGATGAATTATAAACTTAACCCATAAGAAATTATCAGATGATTTATAACCCAAAAGCAAGGTGCAGCACCTGTAGCTGGTAAAATCTGTAGGTAGTCGTACCAGCCTGGAATTCGATCCCTCCATCAGGATTGAAGTTTATGCACCTTAGCTTCTAAGGAGAATAAAAAAATAAAAAACTAAAGTTGTCCGAGACTCGGATAAGTGTATCAGATATTGGCGTAGACATGTAAGACACATTTAAATATGCAATATTTAACATCGACAGAAAATGGTTTCATAAATCTCATAGATTAGATACTCATCTCTGCCATTAGGCTGTCCAATTTGCGTTCATGTTTTGGTTACATCCTGTACCCGCCGCACTCATAAGATAACAGCTATGTGTTTTTCTAATCAAGAAAATTATTGAAACAAACTATTAACTAACAATTTATTTAATAACAAATTTTCATAACTAATATTCTCAATGAAGTATAATATTCACTGGGAAGGATTTCTGAAGCACCAAAAGTGGGACCCTCCAAAGGCAACAAATTCATTTCATAATGCATTAGATTCCTTCACACCCTTTATATATGTGGATTAGATTTAAAAAGTATGCTAATACCATTATCATTATCATTATCATGCAAGAATATAAATTTTGGACTAATAAGACAACTAACCAATCGCACAAATCTTACTTTACAAATTTTCTTCGAATAATTCATTGCAATTGGAGGACCATCAAAGTGGCCTAAAATTGACATCTTCCAAACTAATTCAAATGGCATTGGCGATTAGATGACAGAAATACCCCTGTACAAGATGTATGGTCAGAGCACAAAATCTTATATAGGTCAAAACAGCCATAACCTACTATAAAATACACACAAATTCTAGAGCCTCATAATCCACATACAAAATATATTTTCTCAACTTCCCTTCAATGTAGAAGCAAACTTACATTTAATAAATAAATAAATAAATAAATAAACTTACATTTTCAGGGTATAGTTATATTTTCACCTAGTAATTAATGCCTCTCAATTTAATAAATAAATAAATAAAAACAACTTTAATTAGCAGGGTACATGAATAGGTCAAAAGTTCCAGGGATAACATTGGCAAAAAGGGAAGAATCCACTAACTCTACCTTATTAAAAGGATCCCAAGCTGTCCAACCAATTTAGGATCCAGAAAAGAAACCTGTACCCCACAACACAGCTTATGTTGTAGTTCTGACAAGAAGTAAAACTATTTAAATTCTGGCAGTTTCTCCTTGTTAGTGGAAACATCCGAACTGGTAAACCAAAGAATAATTGATCTATATAGGATGTGTAATCTCAAAAAAGCTGAATTACCATGTGATAAGTGACCGATCATTCACTAGGACCATTGTATACATTGCCACCTCACCAAAACAATAACATATAACAAGTGGCATTTTGTCAGTTCTTGCTTACTTTTGCAATAGAAACTATCAAGCGATCATTACAGGTTTCAAATCTACATACTCGAGTTTGAACCCCTCAGCCTATAGCTCACAAGAAATTTCAGCAGAACTATTACGTAGAATGTTCACTTTGGGAGCTAGGATGGTGAGAAAGTCTTAAGGCTGTTTTGGCCCTGAATTCAGCTACTACTACAGCACAAGACATGGCAACAGAAGCTGATATTCCAGAAACAATATTTGTAAAGGTAACAATGTCATCTCTACTCAATTTCTCATCATAAGTTAATTTGAGTTAGAATTTGACACATCAAACACTGATAATCTTGTTTTGGCAGTATAAAAGATGGTTCTACTTACCAAATATGTATATACATACATACATATATATATATATATATATATAAGATGGTTTCTAGATATGAAACTTCAAAAGTTAGCATGTTTAAGAATGGAACTCTTTGCAAGATCATGGGGTACATGTGAGGAATTTCCACAAGTTACAATAAAGTTGAATAGACTATCATTTAGTACATCATGTTCGATGATTCGATCTTATTATTCTTATCTGAAAGATGAATTTGTTAAAGTAGACTATTAGTGAATCTATGAGGTTACGAAGCTATTTTTATTCATAGTTTCAGCATCAGAATGTTCACTTTCTCCATATGACAAGTGAAAATACCAAAAGGTTGGAACAGGTTTGCATCTTTTAAAACTTGATATCCCACCAGAGCACTTTTCCGGTGTTTGTTTCACATCCAGATAGAAAAGTCAGTTCTCACTATCATACTGAAGTTGTTACATCTACTGTGCTCTAGTGTTTTATTACTGAATCCTTAACAAATGTTACAGTAGGTTGAAGTTTTGTTGTCCTTCAACGGTCTTGGTTTCCCAAAACCAAATGAAAAATGTAAATAATCACCTTTTACCCTCAGAACAGTCATGGATGATTTTTTATAATATTATATCAGCAAAGAGAACAGATGAAACAAGTCCGTAGGATATATTGATCACAGAACAAGTCCACACACATTCCTATTCTTGTAAATTAAATTATATGTCCAGCATGTTACTCAAAATATAGACATAAAGCACATTACACGACCCCACAACCAACAATTAGGCAAAATAAAAGATGGACACATGTTTTGTTGACTATATAGTACAGTAAGAACTTCTAACCAACGGTTCTGCAGATATTACTAACGTCTGATATTACCTCGTAATTCTGATGTTCTGAGTATCCATTAGTAGTTCAAAATGAGAAAGGAAATGTAGTAAAAGGATACTGTGACATATTAAGTTTCTATTTATCACCTAGCGACAAATATTTCTCACTTGAATTAACATCCCGACTCCAAAGGTTCCATGATGTATGGTATGTACTAATAAATGCTAAAGTAGAGTTTAAAGATAAACTCTATTGAGAGGATTTTAAGATAAGTAAGATTAAAATATAAATTATGAATGCAATTTTAGTAATACTAGTATACTTACCTTAACAGAAAAAATAAAAAAGGTATACTAGAAAATGTAATGTAAATGGTGAAGCAATAGATGTAGGGTGAGATAAGAAATGATAAAATTAGAACAAATAAATTTCAAGTGCAAGAGAAACATGATCAAATTAAAGAAAATTATTTTAAATAGTTCGCCAATGTGCAAGAAAGACCAACAACTGCACCAGTGAGAGAGAGTAATGTGATCCACATTTAGGGTGATGTTACAGAAATGAAAAAATATATTATCAAAATAGAATGAATTGAGATAGTATGAAAATAGATGGTAGTGTGTGGTCCAACTATAGTTATGACCTTAGATATAGCAAAATGATAAAACAGGACTCATCTAACCGACCACAAGTAATTGGAACAAAACTTTATTCGGTTGACTTTAGTCGGAACCATTGGTTACACCCTATGTTCTGGTTACTTACTTTCCTCTAATAGTTTTGTTGGAGAAGCCTCTTTACTCCAAGGATGAACTTAGATTTCTAGTTTTCAATTTTTACAGTAAACGTATTCATCTTTTCTGCAGAAAAAAGAAGAGGAAGACAAAGAGTTGACAAGTGAGTGCCTCAATACAACTGTCAACGAGATTTCTCAAGAGGGAATGAATAAAGTTGAACCATGGCATAATCAAACCCCTGAAACCATTAAATTCTTGGAAAAATCAGCAGACATGCAAGTGGCAACCAAAACTGAGGTTCAAAATGTGAATGCTGTTATTGAAGGCAATGTTGAAACCATAGAGGGTGAATTTTTTTTGGCATCACCCTTAGTCACTAAGGTTGCTCGTGAAGAAACCAGTAGAGTTGCAGAAGATTATCAGGCTGCTGAAAAACCAACTCAGGCAGAAAAGGAGGTGCCGAAGAATGAAACCATAAGGGAAGATAAACTAGAGAATCAAAATGTTGAAATTGTTGAAAACAAAGAGGCTTCACTGGAAAAATTCAAATGGAATACCGACAAAGAACTGAGAAGTTCAGAGAAGGATGAGAAAGGAGTCACAATGACAGAAGAAAAAACTGATTTTGAATCCATTAAACAGACTCTGGACATGCTAGAGGCCAGCTCTGGTCAAAATGCAGGAGCTCTGGTTCAAACCCCAGATTTGACAGAAGACGAGAATATCGATAGTGGAAAACTAAAAGAGGCTTATGACAAAGAGGACAGTATTGACAATGCCTTCAGCACAAAGACAACATCCACTGAAGAAAACGTAAGAGAAACAAGCTTTCAAGGAGGAACAGAGAAGGAACCAGAGGCTTCCTTCCATTCAATGAGTAAGGCGATGGATCTTGAAGCAATACAACCAAATAAAAATATTGAGAACAAGAAGAATGAAGGAGAGGAAATGCTGCATGAAGCCACCAAGGATGTTTGTATCTCAACAGAAACAGCAAGCCCAGATAATCAAAAGGAAGAAGAGGAAACAGAAAATTGTACAGGTCCAAATGACAAGACTGGCAGCCCATTGGTTACTACCCCAATAGATGAGATGAGCTCAGAAAATGCTGGACTTGATGTAGGTGGGAAGCTTGAAGAGAACTCCAGTATTGCATTTGAGGAGAGAAGCCATGAAGCAGTTGAACCAATGGAGAAGATGAGAAGCATGACTTTTATTCAAGATGAGATTCAAGACGTACCTGAAACTGGGTCAGAAGGTATTGCCAAGAAGAGACAGAATGAATCTCAAATAGAAATTCCTGAAAATACTGTTATAGCCGATAGCAGTCTAAGTAGGACATATGAGGATCGTGGAAATCCTGAACCAAAAGTTGATAGCTCATTCATGAAACATGAAGATAGTTCACATAAAGAAGGTGAGGAACTGGCTCCAGAAGAAGCTTCAACAGTGGAATACGGAGAAGACAGACAATCAATTATAGTTGAAGACAACATTGAGGCTGCAGAGCACAGCAAAAGTGAAATGTCAGAACACAGGAAACACCCAGAGCATAGCTTCTTGCCAGAAAATGAACCAGGAAAGGAGAAACTTGAAAACTCCTTGGATATGGCTTCTGAGAAAATTGAATCAACTGCTTCCAATGAATATGCCGAAACAAATACTCAGGTCAAGGAGCAGAGACCGATTGAAAGTCCTGAAGACATCCTCGACAAAACCAGAAAGGGCGATGCAATAAATGCTGATGACATCAACAAGAAGGAAATTCCAGAAGAAAAGGTCAGAATTTTGTGATTTCTAAATTTTTGTTAGTTTTCTACATCAGTGATGTAAATAATAATCATCCTATAAAGGTTAAAAGATTGGCTTAATGTTGTATTCCTGCTGCAGACTCTCGCAACAGTTTATTTGAGTGAGAAGACTGAAAGTGCAGAAGTTGAGATCCCAAACAAGAATGCCAATGATTTGTATGTTACCAATCCACAGGTTGAAGTACCAGTACAAATGGGAGGTGAAAACCTGGACAAAGTCCCCACATCAGTATTAGATGAACAAATTCAAGAAGCCGATGTAGTTCCCATAGAAGAGAACACGCGTGTTAATGAAGCATATGAAGCAAGAAATAGACTAAAGAGCGATAATTTAGATCAAACAGCCTCTGAAGGAAAACTAGCAGGGGAACTGACATCAGGAGTAAGGGAGATGGAAGATGATAGACTTGGAAAGGTTGAGATGGACTCTGAAGAGAAATTACAGGTCAAGGATGCTGCAAACAACACAAAAGAGGAGATGCAGCTGGAAGAAGAAGTTACTGATACAGAATTACAAAGCATTACAACAAAAGGTGAGTAGTTTGAAGCTTCAACAATGTTTTCCAAAGACAATTGATGCTTGTCATAGCTGAAACTAAAATAAGCTTACAAACAAATCAGTCCAAATGGATTATAAGCAACTAAATTAGTCCAAAATTAATTACAGGACAAGGGAAAAATATTAGTTAATCATTTGCTCCTGAGAATTTATTCAATTAAATTAGCAAACTACCATCTACAAGTAGGAAAGCAGGATGCGACTGTGCTTTAACAAGTAGTTAACTACATGATATATGTCTTGGTTCTTTGTAGATTCCTTTCTTAATTTGTCTCATAGATAGAAAAAGATTTCCTTAGGTAACCAAAGCTAACACAATTGAATATCATCTTTGCAAAAAGGACCTGCTGCCTCATCAGCACTTCAGCAAAAATGGCCACAAAGATTTAGAAAAAATTCAACCCAAAAATAATGATAATTTATCAGAACTTAAGAAATTGCCATATCTTCAACAGTCAATATTGTAAAAAATGTCACATCAATGAGTACAGGAAAATTGATCAACTCCTAAAATAGTAAATGTGTTTGTCATTTTTTCCAAATTCTTAGACCGCAAAGAATACCAGTGAAATGGTGACTCAATGGATGCATGCTCTCATTTTTTGGTTTAAAATTTTGTAATAATCATTGCCTAAGATTCATGCACACATTTGAATTGCAGACATTCTCCACACCCCCCTCCCTCTTCTCTCCTCCCACACACACAGACACATATAAGTATTCACCGCCTTTAACATCAAATACAGGTGATAACGAGAAAAGCAATACCGATCAAGATGTTCCCGTCAAGGGCAGCAACACAATTTGCTCTGGAGAAGGAGCAGATGGACGAAACTTTCAAGAGAATGAAAATGGGACAAACAATTCTGAAGCAACAGCATCTGAATTGAATGACGGAGATTGGTGTTACGAAGTCGATAATGAGACAGACAACAATGACAGAGATATAAATAAAGAGGTCATTTTGAACTACATGAATCCCAACTGAATCTAACTCCTACTCAGTTATTTTTCTACTTCCAAATTATTATTGTTCATTAAGTTGAAATGTCATGTGACATTCAGGTGTATGAGAATCGTAATATAGCTGACATGAATGAGTGCACTGAAAAACAAATAAAAGAAGAAGAAACTGTTACAGATCACTCACCAGAATCCACTGCTGAAGAAACAACTAGGGACTTTCAAGAAGAAAAAATGGAGACAGAGAAGCACAAAGCAGAGGTTAGAGAAAAAAAAAAATCCAAAGCTTATTTAGTCTCTCTCAGAGAGATACATTGAATGTATCATTTAATTTATTTACTTTTCTACCAAATCAGATGGAAGAGGAACTTGGAACTGCGAACACATGTGAGGGTATTGAGAAAAAAGTTACAGCCACGGAAAAGAGAATTCAACAGCAGTCTATGGTGTCCATTGAAGAGGAAACAATTGCAGAGATCTCCAAAGATGAAATGACGACAATGATGCTCAAACAAGAGGTGAAGTAGACTAATAATCATTTAACAGTCAATAACATGGACCTAATTTGCTTCATTCAACTTTATTAATTTAAAAGCCCCATTTTTCACTTAGGTTCACGAGAACCTTCAGAAATCTGAAGAAGGTGCCTACATTGGACTGCAGATCAAAGAGGAAGATTGTACAGCAAAGGACAACTTTGCAGAATCTGTAGAAGAAGAAGAAACAAAAGAGGATTGCTGTCATGTGGAGGAAAAGCAACATGATATAGAGGTTGGCCTGATAAATTTGACAAATAGTAAATAGAGAGAGAACTATCTTTTTTTCCTTTTGAAGAATGAGAGAGATAATAGTTAATTACAACAGCTTAAAACCTATTTCATCATTTTTTTTTTTTTGGGCATTGAAGAAGCATGGTGGCATAGTGAAATAAAGCAATATAAATACTATTCCATCTTTATGTGGACCATGTCTATAAGGAACATATCCCAAGGATAATAACATGTTTTAAGGCACAAGGAAAAAAATATATAATGAGAGATAAGGTTAAAATCATTGATGGATATAAGAGCACAATAGAAACATGGTTATATTAATGACAAAAGTAAAACCTACAAAATTGGTGATGTGGGGCATCAACCTAATTAATCTAGGAATGAAAAGGAACAACTTAAACTCAGCATTGGCTTGTTAAGCGTATGTGTAATAAGAGAATTTCTTAATATCTAAAATGTCAATAGGTAGTTTTTTTTGCCCTGGGAGAAGCTTTAAGATGGGCCTTAAGACAAAATCAGGTACAATTTGTACAGGTTTTGAGACCTAGCTATCAACTGAAACAAGCCTAATCCAACATCAGCTTTATATTCTTTGTTAGTCTCTAGCACAGTTTCCTTCTTATTCATTTTCCTAAACTCAAAAGTTTTAAATGTCATATAGGCAAGTGAAGAGTATGAAACTGCTGGAGCAAGTACAAACACAGAAAATCAGATTATAGAGGAAAGTGTCATCATAGACCTCCATTCTTTAACAGATGAAGAAAACTTAAAAGGAGATGAAAGGGATGTAATAAAATCAAAAGATGAGGTATGATTATATAAAAAAGTTGAATCTTAAACCTTTCCGTTTGGACTTTCATCTCCTAGTTGTCAACTTAAAATCTCTCTATAACAGGTCAAAAACTTGAAAATGGAAAGCCAAGAGAAGAATCTTGAGACCACAAATTCGACAGAGGAAAGAAAACTCGAAGCCGCAAAGGATGAGGCAAAGCCAAACGAGAACTGCAATGCTCAAAGTATTGCAGGGACATCAGAAGAAGAAATACTGCCAAAAGAATGCAACGAAGACCTTGTTGAACGTTCCTCCACGGTGCCTGAGGTATCTGAGAAAGAGATTAAAGAGGAAATTTCACAGAAAGCAGAGTCAATAAAAGAAACAAGCTTTAAGGAAGCCAAAGCAGAAGATGGAATGCAGGTGGAATGTTTTGATCTGACTTCTGAGGAGAAGAGTACAGTGACTATTGAAACCGGTGAGACTAGGTCAGACAGTGTAGATATCATAGCAAAACCTGAAGAAATGTCCAACTCAATTGAGAATAAGGACATGGTGAACCCAACAGGAAAACATGGAGCAGATGAAGCCAGAGAAGAGATAGAGCATGAAATGCAAAATGAGACTCATTGTACATTACCAAAAAGTGAAGATCAAATAGAGGTTGCCACTGATGAGACACCCTCAAATGACATATCAGGACAAAACCTTGAGTCATCTTTGACAGTGTCACTGGAAAAACATAACCTTGTGACAACTGAAGCAAGTGAGACAAAAAAAGAGACTACAGAGAGACATGGAACCTCGAAAACCAATGAAGAAGCTCCTTCAGTGTCAGAGACGACAGAAGAGAAGCTAATGCAAAATGAGAAGTCCACAGATTCAATATATGGCGCTGATATGGCCCACATGGGATCTGTAGATATTGAAAAGGACATGGCAAACAAAGAAGTTCAGGATGCAGAACAAGAGCTCAATATGCCTCTTGAGTTGAACAATGAAAAAGGTACCTCTGAATCAGATGCTGAACTCCTAAAGAGGGAAAAAAGCAGTGAAGTAGCCGATGGCAGTGAGATTGGCAAAAAATATGAGAAGGCACTGGATATTGAACTGGAAAAGGACAAATTTGAAGATCCAGTCGATGAGGGCTCGAAGTGTGCTAAAGCATGTGAAACAAATACAGACACTGAAGTGGAGGCAGGGAGTTATAGTCATGGAAGCGAGGCCTCTGACATTAGAAGTATTAGCACTTCTACAGAAGAGGTCAGAGCAACTTCACTTTTTTTCACTCTTTCTTATGACTAGTGATTGTACATTAATCATTTAACTAGGACAACCTTTTCACTTTATCTCTCTTCATTTTTGCAACCTCATATAATTTGGAGAAGCAGTGTGGATTGATTCATTAGATATATGGATGGTCCATGAAAATGAAATCCCTCTGAGTGTTCGTGCACAGCATTATAAAGAATTATTTAGTGTTTCCACAAAATTTATATCTCTTTACTTGTTTATCTTAATATTTTGTTAGAATAACAGTCATGTATGAATTTTTTTTTTTTTTTTTTTTTAAAAAAAAAGAAGAAAATTGTTTCTGCAATATTTACTATCAGCTTGTATTTATACCAATGGCCTTTCAGCATGACCAGCTCATGGATTCAGATGTAATCTAGAACAGCATGACTACATTAAAGTTTAGACCAAAATTGAACCTTGTACTAATGATTAATTAATCACCGTGGAAAAGAATCTTGAATCAGTTGAATCTGGTGAAATCTCAGATGGATCTCTGAATAATGGAATATGTCCTCAAACCAAAAAGACAAATGAGAAAGAGAGCGACAACATTAATATCAGAATGTTTGAGTCCACTGAAGAACAAATATAAGACTTCAAAAAAATAAAATAAAATGCATGAAGAAAGAGAACCCAAATAAAAGCCAAATGATAAAATAACAAAACACAAGACTCAAAATATAAACCCAGACTTGTAGATCATTTTTTTCCCATTTGTTACTCCTCAGGTTCTATTAACAATATTGAGGTCATATCTATTACACAGGTTTCTGCAGAAGTTGATAGACCTGAAGAAAATGAAAACATCAAAGAAATAGAGGGAGAGAGTTGCACAAAAGAACTTCATATGATATCTGGTGGGACAGTTCATGAGGTCAGCTTAATATCATACAAGCAAAGTATTTTAAGCATTTCTAGCATGCAACATTCTTTTCTTCTTTTTATGATAAATTGATAATCTATTTGCAACAACATCAATCAGGTCAAAGACCCAGAGCTAGAACTCCCTGAGCATCCAGAAACAACAGGTTCTAATAAGGATACAGAAACAGTGAGATCAAAGGATGAAGAAGATATCAATTGGGAGTCAGAAGCATCTGCCATGACAAAAACATGTTTAGAAGAAGAATTGAAGAAAGCCAATGAGAATCCTGTGGATGTCTCAAGCTCAGTACCTGAAGGGATAGAAGAAAAGATTAAAGAAGAGGAAGTAGAAGAAACAGGTAACTGTAATGACAAGACTGATGCTGCAGCAAAAGTAGTAACAAAAGAAACAAGTTTGGAGGAAATTCAGCAAGATGACAAGTCTGTAAAGGCCTCTGATACCAGTTCAGAGACTAAGATTCTAGAAACAATCCAAACTACAGAGCCTAGCCTACAGGATGAAGAAATTGACAGCATGAAACTTGCAGAAACCTCTCAAATGGTGTATCAACTTCCGAAGATTGAACATGGAAATCTAGAAAAAGGGAGTACAAACTTAAAAAACTCAGATGCGGATGAAGCTGTCAAAACCAAAATTCTTGATGCAGTTCCTGAGTGCAAAGATCAGTGTGTTGAGGAAACTCGTGAGCCTGGTACAAGGCTAGCAGTACGAAACACTGACACAGATGAAATCGAAGAAGAGATCAAAAAAGTTCCCGAACCAATATCAGAACCCAAAGCACTTACTGATGGTGAGGTCACCTCTAATCAGACTCTCCAAGCTGAGAAATTAGAGGACGAAACTGAAACCATCAAAGAAAAGATCATAGATGGAGAGAGTTGCACAAAGGAACATCATATGATATCTGGTGGAACAGTTAATGAGGTCAGTTTAATAACATACAAGCAAAGTATTTTAAGCATTTCAATCATGAAGCTTTCTTTTCTTCTTTTTATGATAAATTGATAATCTATTTGCAATGACATCAATCAGGTCAAAGACCCAGAGCTAAAACCCCCTGAGAATCTTGAAACAAAAGATTCTAATAAGGACACAGAAACAGTGAGATCAAAGGATGAAGAAGATCTCAATTGGGAGTCAGAAGTACCTGCCATAACAACAGCATTTTCAGAAGAAGAATTGAAGAAAGACAGTGAGAAGCCAGTGGATGTCTCAAGCCCGGTGCCTGAAGAAATAGATGAAAAGATTGAAGAAGAGAAATTAGAAGCAGCGGACAAGACTGATGCTGCAGCAACAGTGGTAATAAAAGAAACAAGCATGGGGGATATTCAGCAAGATGACAAGTCTGTAAAGGCCCCTGAAACCAGTCCAGATTCTGAGACTCCAGCAACAATTCAAACGATTGAATCTAGCCTACACGGTGAAGAAAATGCCAGCATGAACCTTGAAGAAACCTCTCATTTGGTGTATCAACTTCCAAAGATTGAAGAAACCACACATAAGGCTGATACAAGCCTACCAGTAGGAAACACTGCCACAGATGAAATTGGAGAAGAGATCAAAAAAGTTCCTGAACCAATATCTGAACCCAGATATAACAATGTGGAAGCACTTACTGATGGTGAGGTCACCTCTAATCAGACTCTCCCAGCTGCGAAATTAGAAGACGAATCTGAAACCATCAAAGAAAATATCTTAGATGGAGAGAGTTGCACTATGGAACTTCATATGATATCTAGTGGAACAGTTAATGAGGTCAGCTTAATATCATACAAGCAAAGTATTTTAAGCATTTCTAACATGCAGCTTTATTTTCTTCTTTTTACAATAAATTGATCTATTTGCAATGACATCAATCAGGTCAAAGACACAGAGCTAAAACCCCCTGAGAATCTTGAAACAACAGATTCTAATAAGGATACAGAAACAGTGAGATCAAAGGATGAAGAAGATCTCAATTGGGAGTCAGAAGTACCTGCCATAACAAAAGCATTTTCAGAAGAAGAATTGATGAAAGCCAGTGAGAAGCATGTGGATGTCTCAAGCCCGGTACCTGAAGAGATAGATGAAAAGATTGAAGAAGAGAAATTAGAAGCGGACAAGGCTGATGCTGCAGCAACAGTGGTAACGAAAGAAACAAGCTTGGGGGAAATTCAGCAAGATGACAGGTCTGTAAAGGCCTTTGATACCAGTCCAGACTCAGAGACTCTAGCAACAATTCAAACAACTGAATCTAGCCTACAGGGCGGAGAAAATGCCAGCATAAAGCTTGAAGAAACCTCTCAAATGGTGTATGATAAATTGCTATCTGGTGGAACAGTTAATGAGGTCAGTTTAATATCAAGCAAGCAACGTATTTTAAGCATTTCTAGCAAGCAGCTTTCTTTTCTTCTTTTTATGATAAATTGATAATCTATTTGCAATTACATCAATCAGGTCAATGACACACAGCTAAAACCCCCTGAGAATCTTGAAACAACAGATTCTAATAAGGATACAGAAACAGTGAGATCAAAGGATGAAGATCTCAATTGGGAGTCAGAAGTACCTGCCATAACAAAAACATTTTCAGAAGAAGAATTGAAGAAAGCCAGTGAGAAGCATGTGGATGTCTCAAGCCCAGTACCTGAAGAGATAGATGAAAAGATTGAAGAAGAGAAATTAGAAGAAGCGGACAAGAATGATCCTGAAGCAACAGTGGTAACAATAGAAACAAGATTGGGGGAAAAAAAAGAAACAAGCTTCGGGGAAATTCAGCAAGATGACAAGTTTGTAAAGGCATCTGATACCAGTCCAGATTCTAAGACTCTAGTACCAATTCAAACAATTGAATCTGGCCTACACGGTGAAGAAAATGCCAGCATGAACCTTGAAGAAACCTCTCAAATGGTGTATCGACTTCCAAATATTGAAGAATCCCCTCATGAGGCTGGTACAAGTCTACCAGTAGGAAACACTGCCAAAGATGAAATTGAAGAAGAGATCAAAAAAGTTCCTGAAGCAATATCTGGACCCAGGTATAACAATATCGAAGCAGTAACTGATGGTGAGGTCATCTCTAATCGGACTCTCCCAGCCGAGAAATTAGAAAACGAAACTGAAACCAACAAAGAAAGGATCGTAGATGGACAGAGTTGCACTATGGAACTTCATACGATATCTGGTGGAACAGTTAATGAGGTCAGCTTAATACCATACAAGCAAAGTATTTTAAGCATTTCTAACATGCAGCTTTCTTTTCTTCTTTGTACAATAAATTGATTTATTTGCAATGACATCAATCAGGTCAAAGACACAGAGCTAAAACCCCCTGAGAATCTTGAAACAACAGATTCTAATAAGGATACAGAAACAGTGAGATCAAAGGATGAAGAAGATCTCAATTGGGAGTCAGAAGTACCTGCCATAACAAAAGCATTTTCAGAAGAAGAATTGATGAAAGCCGGTGAGAAGCATGTGGATGTCTCAAGCCCGGAACCTGGAGAGATAGATGAAAAGATTGAAGAAGAGAAATTAGAAGCAGACAAGACTGATGCTGCCGCAACAGTGGAAACGAAAGCAACAAGCTTGTGGGAAATTCAGCAAGATGACAAGTCTGTAAAGGCCTTTGATACCAGTCCAGACTCAGAGACTCTAGCAACAATTCAAACGACCGAATCTAGCCTACAGGGGGAAGAAAATGCCAGCATGAAGCTTGAAGAAACCTCTCAACTGGTGTATCAACTTCCAAATATTGAAGAAACCCCTCATGAGGCTGTTACAAGCCTACCAGTACAAAACAATTGGGAGTCAGAAGTAGTGGGATCAAAGGATGAAGAAGATCTCAATTGGGAGTCAGAAGTACCTGCCATAACAAAATCATTTTCAGAAGAAGAATTGATGAAAGCCAGTGAGAAGCCTGTGGATGTCTCAAGCTCGGTACCTGAAGAGATAAATGAAAAGATTGAAGAAGAGAAATTAGAAGAAGCGGACAAGACTGATGCTGTAGCAAAACTGGTAACAAGAGAAACAAGCTTGGGAGAAATTCAGCAAGACGACAAGTCTGTAAAGGCCTTTGATACCAGTCCAGACTTGCAGGCTCTAGCAACAATTCAAACAACTGAATCTAGCCTACAGGGTGACGAAAATGCCAGCATGAAGTTTGAAGAAACCTCTCAAATGGTATATCAACTTCCAAATATTGAAGAAACCCCTCATGAGGCTGGTACAAGCCTACCAGTAGGAAACACTACCACAGATGACATGGAAGAAGAGAACAAAAAAGTTCCTGAAGCAATATCTGGACCCGGGTATAACAATATTGAAGCAGTTACTGATGGTGAGGTCATCTCTAATCAGACTCTCCCGGCTGAGAAATTAGAAGATGAAACTGAAACCATCAAAGAAAATATCATAGATGGAGAGAGTTGCACAAAGAAACTTCATATGATATGTGGTGGAATAGTGAATGAGGTCAGCTTAATATCATACAAGCAAAGTATTTTTAGCATTTCTAGCATGCAGCTTTCTTTTCTTCTTTTTCTGATAAATTGATAATCTATTTGCAATGACATCAATCAGGTCAAAGACACAGAGCTAAAACCCCCTGAGAATCTTGAAACAACAGATTCTAATAAGGATACAGAAACAGTGAGATCAAAGGATGAAGAAGATCTCAACTGGGAGTCAGAAGAACCTGCCATAACAAAATCATTTTCAGAAGAAGAATTGATGAATGCCAGTGAGAAGCCTGTGGATATCTCAAGCTCAGTACCTGAAGAGAAAGATGAAAATATTGAAGAAGAGAAAATAGAAGAAGCGGACAAGACTGATGCTGCAGCAAAACTGGTAACAAGAGAAACAAGCTTGGGAGAAATTCAGCAAGACGACAAGTCTGTCAAGGCCTTTGATACCAGTCCAGACTTGGAGACTCTACCAACAATTCAAACAACTGAATCTAGCCTACTGGGTGAAGAAAATGCCAGCATGAAGTTTGAAGAAACCTCTCAAATGGTATATCAACTTCCAAATATTAAAGAAACCCCTCATGAGGCTGGTACAAGCCTACCAGTAGGAAACACTACCGCAGATGAAATTGAAGAAGAGACCAAAAAAGTTCCTGAAGCAGTATCTGGACCCGGGTATAACAATATTGAAGCAGTTACTGATGGTGAGGTCATCTCTAATCAGACTCTCCCAGCTGAGAAATTAGAAGACGAAACTGAAACCATCAAAGAAAAGATCGTAGATGGAGAGAGTTGCACAAAGGAACTTCATATGATATCTGGTGGAACAGTTAATGAGGTCAGCTTAATATCATACAAGCAAAGTATTTTTAGCATTTCTAGCATGCAGCTTTCTTTTCTTCTTTTTCTGATAAATTGATAATCTATTTGCAATGACATCAATCAGGTCAAAGACACAGAGCTAAAACCCCCTGAGAATCTTGAAACAACAGATTCTAATAAGGATACAGAAACAGTGAGATCAAAGGATGAACAAGATCTCAATTGGGAGTCAGAAGTACCTGCCATAACAAAATCATTTTCAGAAGAAGAATTGATGAAAGCCAGTGAGAAGCCTGTGGATGTCTCAAGCTCGGTATCTGAAGAGATAGATGAAAAGATTGAAGAGAAATTAGAAGAAGCGGACAAGACTGATGCTGCAGCAAAACTGGTAACAAGAGAAACAAGCTTGGGAGAAATTCAGCAAGATGACAAGTCTGTAAAGGCCTTTGATACCAGTCCAGACTTGGAGACTCTGGCAACAATTCAAATAACTGAATCTAGCCTACAGGGTGAAGAAAATGCCAGCATGAAGTTTGAAGAAACCTCTCAAATGGTATATCAACTTCCAAATATTGAAGAAACCCTTCATGAGGCTGGTACAAGCCTACCAGTAGGAAACACTACCACAGATGAAATTGAAGAAGAGACCAAAAAAGTTCCTGAAGCAGTATCTGGACCCGGGTATAACAATATTGAAGCAGTTACTGACGGTGAGGTCATCTCTAATCAGACTCTCCCAGCTGAGAAATTAGAAGACGAAACTGAAACCATCAAAGAAAAGATCGTAGATGGAGAGAGTTGCACAAAGGAACTTCATATGATATCTGGTGGAACAGTTAATGAGGTCAGTTTAATATCATACAAGCAAAGTATTTTTAGCATTTCTAGCATGCAGCTTTCTTTTCTTCTTTTTATGATAAATTGATAATCTATTTGCAATGACATCAATCAGGTCAAAGACACAAAGCTAAAACCCCCTGAGAATCTTCAAACAACAGATTCTAATAAGGATACAGAAACAGTGAGATCAAAGGATGAAGAAGATCTGAATTGGGAGTCAGAAGTACGTGCCATAACAAAATCATTTTCAGAAGAAGAATTGATGAAAGCCAGTGAGAAGCCTGTGAATGTCTCAAGCTCAGCACCTGAAGAGATAGATGAAAAGAATGAAGAAGAGAAATTAGAAGAAGTGGACAAGACTGATGCTGCAGCAAAAATGGTAACAAGAGAAACAAGTTTGGGAGAAATTCAGCAAGACGACAAGTCTGTAAATGCCTTTGATACCAGTCCAGACTTGCAGACTCTAGCAACAATTCAAACAACTGAATCTAGCCTACAGGGTGAAGAAAATGCCAGCATAAAGTTTGAAGAAACCTCTCAAATGGTATATCAACTTCCAAATATTGAAGAAACCCCTCATGAGGCTGGTACAAGCCTACCAGTAGGAAACACTACCACAGATGAAATTGAAGAAGAGAACAAAAAAGTTCCTGAAGCAATATCTGGACCCGGGTATAACAATATTGAAGCAGTTACTGATGGTGAGGTCATCTCTAATCAGACTCTCCCAGCTGAGAAATTAGAAGACGAAACTGAAACCATCAAAGAAAAGATCGTAGATGGAGAGAGTTGCACTATGGAACTTCATATGATATCTGGTGGAACAGTTAATGAGGTCAGCTTAATATAATACAAGCAAAGTATTTTAAGCATTTCTAACATGCAGCTTTATTTTCTTCTTTTTATGATAAATTGATCTATTTGCAATGACATCAATCAGGTCAAAGAGACACAGCTAAAACCCCCTGAGAATCTTGAAACAACAGATTCTAATAAGGATACAGAAACAGCGAGATCAAAGGATGAAGAAGATCTCAATTGGGAGTCAGAAGTACCTGCCATAACAAAAGCATTTTCAGAAGAAAAATTGATGAAAGTCGGTGAGAAGCCTGTGGATGTCTCAAGCCCGGTACCTGAAGAGATAGATGAAAAGATTGAAGAAGAGAAATTACAAGAAGCGGATAAGACTGATGCTGCAGCAACAGTCGTAACAAAAGAAACAAGCTTGGGGGAAATTCAGCAAGATGACAAGTCTGTAAAGGCCTTTGATACCAGTCCAGACTCGGAGGCTCCAGCAACAATTCAAACAGCTGAATCTAGCCTACAGGGTGAAGAAAATGCCAGCATGAAGCTTGAAGAAACCTCTCAAATGGTGAATCAACTTCCAAAAATTGAAGAAACCCGTCATGAGGCTGGTACAAGCCTACCAGTAGGAAACACTGCCACAGATGATATTGAAGAAGAAGTCAAAAAAGTTCCTGAAGCAATATCTGGACCCGGGTATAACAATATCGAAGCAGTTACTGATGGTGAGATCATCTCTAATCAGACTCTCCCAGCTGAGAAATTAGAAGACGAAACTGAAACCATCAAAGAAAAGATCATAGATGGAGAGAGTTGCAGTACGGAACTTCATATGATATCTGGTGGAACAGTTAATGAGGTCAGCTTAATATCATACACGCAAAGTATTTTAAGCATTTCTAACATGCAGCTTTCTTTTCTTCTTTTTACGATAAATTGATCTATTGGCAATGACATCAATCAGGTCAAGGACCCAGAGCTAGAACCCCCTGAGAATCTTGAAACAACAGATTCTAATAAGGATACAGAAACAGTGGGATTAGAGGTTGAAGAAAATTCCAATTGGGAGTCAGAACCATCTGCCATAACAAAAGCATTTACAGAAGAAGAATTGAAGATAGCCACTGAGAAGCATGTGGATGTCTCGAGCTCGGTACCTGAAGAGGTAGAAGAAAAGATTAAAGAAGAGAAAGTAGAAGTAGCAGACAATACTGATGCTGCAGCAACAGTGGTAACAAAAGAAACAAGCTTGGGGGAAATTCAGGAAGGTGACAAATCTGTAAAGGCCTTTGATACCAGTCCAGATTCCGAGTCCGAGGGTCAGTGTGTTGAGGAGACTTGTGAGATTGGTACAAGCCTAACAGCAGGAAAGATTGACACAAGTGAAACTGAAGAAGAGATTAAAAAAGTTCCTGAAACAATATGTGAACCCAGATATAACAGTTTTGAAGCAGGTATTGATGGTGAGATCGACTCTAATCAGACTCTCCCAGCAAAGGAAATAGAAGAGCAGCTTCAGGTTCCATCCTCTGCCTTGCTATTTAAGGAACAGGACCATGACATGATGACCACAATTGAAAAGATAGAAGATGGAGGCGCAAAGAATAATGAAACAGAACTTGACAGCATGAAGCTTGAAGAAACTTCCGGCATGGAGTCTCAGCTTCTGACAACTGAACATGAGAATGCAGACCAGTTCAGTGGAGAGAAGTCAGATGCAGCTGAAATCAAACTAGAACAAACTAAAATTCCTGACTCAGTAACTGAGTCCAAAGTTCAGAGTTGTGAAGAGATTCATGAGACTGGGAGATGTCTGGCTATGGAAAAGATTGATGCAGACGAAACTGAACAAGAAATCAAAGAAATTCCTGCAACAATATCTGGAACCAGAAATCAAGGTGTTGAATCGGTTACCAATGATGAGATGACCCCTAATCACACTCTCCCAGCTGAGAATTTAGAAGAGCAACTTCAGGTGCCATATTCAGCTTCGCTTTACAAGGAACAGGAATGTGAAACTACAACCACAATCGAGAAGTTAGAAGATGACAGTACAAAGAAAGAAATTGACAGCATAATTATTGAAGAAACATCAGGCATGGTATCTCAACTTCCAATAATGGACATGAGTGCAACTGTAGAAAAGTTAGATGCAAATGAAGTGAAAATTGAAGAAACCAAAACTTTTGATGCAGTATGTGAGTCCAAAGATCAGGGTGTTGAAGATATTTATGAGACTGGGACAATAACTGTGGAAAAGAATGATGCAGATGAAATGGTAGAAGAAATCAAAGAAGTTCCTGAAACAATTTCTGAACATATATATCAAGGTGCCGAAACAGCAAGTGATCGTGAGATCACCCCTGAGCAGACTTTCCCAGCTGGAGAAATGGACGAGCAACTTCAGATGCCATCCTCTCTCTTGCTTCCCAAGGAACAAGAACATGAAACTACAACCACAATGAAGAGGATAGAAGATGAGAGCACAAAGAAAGATGAAGAAGAAATTGGCAACATGAAACTTGAAGAAAGCTCTGCCATGGCGTCTCAGCTTCCAAAAATTGATTGTGAAGTTGCAGACAATGTGAATGTAACAGTAGAAACTTCCAAAGCAGATGAACTTGAAGTTGAAGAAACCAAAATTTCTATAGAAGCAAATGATTCCAAAGATCATGGTGTTGAAGAAATTCATGAGTCTGAGACAAGCCTAACGGTGGGAAAGACTGATATAGACACTATAGAAGAAATCAAAGAAGTTCCCAAAATAATATCTGGGCCTAAATATCAAGGACTTGAAGCATTTACTGAAGGTGGGATAACCCCTGAACAAACTCTCCCACCTGGGAAATCAGAACAGCAACTTCAGGAACCATCCCCTGTCTTCCTGTTCAACGAAAATGACGGAACAAAGAAAGATCACACTCAAGTTAATGAGGACTTAGATAGTTCCTCAGCCACAGGGACAGTGGAAGAAACATGCTTTCAGAAGGAAAAGCCCAGAGAGCTTGGAGTTTCTGAATTGGAGCTCAAACTTACCGAAGAAACAAAGAAGGATAGTCCAAATGAAGCACAGAAGGAAGAAAAAACAGTTCTTGAAGGCTCCCCAGCAGTAGAGCCTCAAGTTTATGTCTCTGAGATAACAAATGCTGATCTTCCATCAGACACTGAGAAAAGATACATCCAGTGTAGCTCACAGGAGACTTTGAAAGATGAAAACATTCTGGATTCTGAGAACCCGAACAAGGAAGCTGATGATTTACCTAGTTCCCATTCAACAGTCAAAGAGATCTTACCAGGGGAGGAGGTTGAAAAGTGTGAGGAAGCCTCTAATCTCGGGTTTGAGAAGACTGGAAAGGTTCTTGAATTAGTGTCCGAAGTTCACAGTCCTGATGTACTCACTAAACCAGAAGAGACAAAAATAACAGAAGAGCCACTCGGGGCAGCAACAGGTGAACTGAGGACAAAAGACAATCAGAGTGAGGAAATAACTGAAGCAAGTGAGACCATAAAGAACGAACTTTCAAGTAAAAAGGTCAGACAGAAAATAAGTCTGGAATTTTACATTTAATAAAATGTTTATTTGTTTTCTTCCTTCTCTTTTTTGTACATTGTTTTATCTATTTGAAGTCTGTTAACTGAGGAAATACAAAACAGATCAAAGAGGCTGATGACGAAAGAGTCACAACAAGCAACCAAGAAGATGAAATAAATGCAGAAGAATATTCAGGAGAAAAGACAGATGAAAAAACTGAGATCACAGAGAAAGGAATTTCAAATAAGGAGGTCAGGGAATAAGAATCGCAATTTTTTTTTTCCTTTCTTTCTTTTTTTTTTTTTTTAGGTCCTTCTAACCCTTCTCTTTTTGTAGTAACGTTAAAGATCTATTTAATGCAGTTCGATGAACTTGAAAAAATGGATGTGAACAAAAATGTTGAAGAAATAATCGTGGGCGAAGATAGAGCTGTTGAGAGAACTTACCAAGTTTCAGATGGGGATGGAACAGCTAGTAATAGCCTTCTAGAAGAAGCAGAGGAGAAAAATAATGCCAAGAGAGCACATACTGATTTAGACATTAAAGATCAGGGTGATGAAACAATGCGTAGAGACATAGCAGCAGAAGCCACAGCTCTAAAGCTAACAAATGCTGATCTTCCATCAGACACTGAGAAAAGCTACATCCAGTGTAGCTCACAGGAGACTTTGAAAGATGAGGACATTCTGGATTCTGAGAACCCAAACAAGGAAGCTGATGATTTACCTAGTTCCCATTCAACAGTCAAAGAGATCTTACCAGGGGAGGAGGTTGAAAAGTGTGAGGAAGCCTCTAATCTTGGGTTTGAGAAGACTGGAAAGGTTCTTGAATCAGTGTCCGAAGTTCACAGTCCTGATGTACTCACTAAACCAGAAGAGATGAAAATAACAAAAGAGCCACTCGGGGCAGCAACAGGTGAACTGAGGACAAAAGACAATCAGAGTGAGGAAATAACTGAAGCAAGTGAGACCATAAAGAATGAACTTTCAAGTAAAAAGGTCAGACAGAAAATAAGTCTGGAATTTTACATTTAATAAATTGTTCATTTGTTTTCTCCCTTCTCTTTTTTGTACATTGCTTTTTTATCTATTTGAAGGCTGTTAACTGAGGAAATACAAAACAGATCAAAGAGGCTGATGACGAAAGAGTCACAACAAGCAACCAAGAAGATGAAATAAAGGCAGAAGAATATTCAGGAGAAAAGACAGATGAAAAAATTGAGATCACAGAGAAAGGAATTTCAAATAAGGAGGTCAGGGAATAAGAACTGCAATTTTTTTTTCCCTTTCTTTCTTTTTTTTTTTTTTTAGGTCCTTTTAACCCTTCTCTTTTTGTTGTAACGTTAAAGATCTATTTAATGCAGTTTGATGAACTTGAAAAAACGGATGTGAACAAAAATGTTGAAGAAATAACCGTGGGCGAAGATAGAGCTGTTGAGAGCACTTACCAAGTTTCAGATGGGGATGGAACAGCTAGTAATAACCTTCTAGAAGAAGCAGAGGAGAAAAATAATGCCAAGAGAGCACATACTGATTTAGACATTAAAGATCAGGGTGATGAAACAAAGTCTAGAGACATAGCAGCAGAAGCCACAGCTCTAAAGCTACCAAATGCTGATCTTCCATCAGACACTGAGAAAAGATACATCCAGTGTAGCTCACAGGAGACTTTGAAAGATGAGGACATTCTGGATTCTGAGAACCCGAACAAGGAAGCTGATGATTTACCTAGTTCCCATTCAACAGTCAAAGAGATCTTACCAGGGGAAGAGGTTGAAAAGTGTGAGGAAGCCTCTAATCTCAGGTTTGAGAAGACTGGAAAAGTTCTTGAATTAGTGTCCGAAGTTCACAGTCCTGATGTACTCACTAAACCAGAAAAGATGAAAATAACAGAAGAGCCACTCGGGGCAGCAATAGGTGAACTGAGGACAAAAGACAATCAGAGTGAGGAAATAACTGAAGCAAGTGAGACCATAAAGAATGAACTTTCAAGTAAAAAGGTCAGACAGAAAATAAGTCCGGAATTTTACATTTAATAAAATGTTTATTTGTTTTTTCCCTTCTCTTTTTTGTACATTGTTTTATCTATTTGAAGGCTGTTAACTGAGGAAATACAAAACAGATCAAAGAGGCTGATGATGAAAGAGTCACAACAAGCAACCAAGAAGATGAAATAAGGGCAGAAGAATATTCAGGAGAAAAGACAGATGAAAAAACTGAGTTCACAGAGAAAGGAATTTCAAATAAGGAGGTCAGGGAATAAGAATTGCAATTTTTTTTTCCTTTCTTTCTTTTTTTTTTTTTTAGGTCCTTCTAACCCTTCTCTTTTTGTAGTAACGTTAAAGATCTATTTAATGCAGTTCGATGAACTTGAAAAAACGGATGTGAACAAAAATGTTGAAGAAATAATCGTGGGCGAAGATAGAGCTGTTGAGAGCACTTACCAAGTTTCAGATGGGGATGGAACAGCTAGTAATAACCTTCTAGAAGAAGCAGAGCAGAAAAAGAATGCCAGGAGAGCACATACTGATTTAGACATTAAAGATCAGGGTGATGAAACCAAGTGTAGAGACATAGCAGCAGAAGCCGCGGTTCAAAGTAAAGAGGTCAGATATTATTATCCTTTCCTCCCAAAAGAAAAAATCTTCTAAAAAAAGTTTTAAATAGTATGTGGATAAAAACAGTCTTTTACTATTAACAATAAAATGGTTACAGTAGACAAAAAAAAAAATCTATTTTTGTTCATGGCCTCCTGGGGGGTTTATGTAATCAAAGCAGCACCATCAGTCCATCACTGTTCCATATATCTTAAAACAGAAATTCAGAATTATTTATATACCATGCAGCCATGCCTAAGTACAGCAAGGATGGAACTGTTTCCAAAATCATTGAAATTTACAGCACGAACTTACGTTTAAGTGAGCTCTGGCAACATAAACAGTACAACTAGGTCTGGAACATCCTTTTCTTTTACCACTTTTCGAGTAGTGTGAACTGTGTCCCGCATAAAAGCATCTAAAACAGTAGAATACGGGTAACGCTACCAAAAGAATCATCCTAACCACCAAGCTTCCGTCCATAGGCACCAACTTGACCCCATCTCCATCATCTCATCAACAAAAGCATTCTGCTCTCACCAGCACCCCTACATCAGCACCCTCAGAAGCACCTTCATTGTTCTCTACCCCTCCTCGGTTCAGTAATTATTCAAAATCATCAGTAAATTTAGACGATTATGTACAAAAAAATCTACATCTTTTAAAGCCCCCTTCCATTTTCTTATCATAAATTCAAAAACTATATGTTGTATAGGTTGACGGCTCTGAGGTCGTATTGGTAAAGCCCAATGAGGACAGAATAGGTGCTATTGACAAAGAAATTGTGATCAGAAAGGATGAAGAATCACAAAACAGCAACCTTGATGATCTACCAGTGAGAGACGCAGCGGCAGAAGAAGCGGCAGATAAAAGAGTAGGTGAGAAAATTGAGGAAGTTCCTGAACCTGCACCTAGAGAACCAACTTACAAAATCATCAAAACACAAGAAGAAAACAAAGAAACTGCCATGGCAAACACCAATAATTCAGAGAGCGTCATGGACAATGAGAGGCCTCAGCACACATCTCTTGAGTGGGCATGCAGTGGAAGTGATGCTATAGAAGGCTTGAACCTGAAAGAACAAGAGGCTTATGCAAGTGAACAAAGCACTTTATCTCACACTGAAACTTCACGAAAAGAAATGGAAGATAACGAGAGTGAGAAAACAGTAGATGAGAAACAAAATGATCTCAAATTTGACGACCAAAAAACAGATGAAGTGGGTATAGAAGGAGGAGGAAAGAACATTACATGTGAGGGAGAGCACAGACATGATGAGGTAAGAATAAATACCATAGCAATAATAGCCTTGAAAAATGAGCAATTTCACAGGACTTGATTTTGTATCTGTTCTGCAGGATCAAGTAAAGCTTTCAACAAGGGGAAATGAGAGCAAGCTTGATGAAGCTGAGGTTCACAATACAATAACTGCAATTGAAGGAGAAAGTCAAGTTCAAGATGAAGAGCTACGCCTCAACGTTTTGGCAGATATCAAGGATTCAATCATGACGATATCACAAGAAGATGGCATAGTGGATCTTGCAGAAGACAATGAAACCCCTAAAGATACACCAGTGTTAAAGACAACCACTCTTGCATTGTCAGATCAGCACATTCCAAGAGAATCAGATGCAAATGAGGGCATAGAAGCTACAGTCTCAATTGGCAACAAAGATGTAACACCAGTGCAACAGGACCCAATTGCAAAAACGTTCCAGAATCCTGAGGAAGATGATTTGAAAGCTGAAAATGCTTCAGGGGCTGAACTTGAAGAAAAAAGAGCGGAGTGTGGAGAAGAGAAAAGGATGGGTGATGAGTGTGAAGAAAAAACAGAAAAATCAACATCAATTGAGTCAACTCAGATTTCATTATCTGACCTCCTGCAGGGAACAACAAAAGAAACCTCGCAAGTTGCAAAGCATTTGACTGAGGAGAGAGAACTCTTGGTCAACAAAGAACTGCAAACTGAGAAAGCAGAAATAGCTCGAGTGGAAGAAGCTAAAACTATTGATGACAGAGATGAAGTAGTAGGAGGAGAAGAACACAAAAGGGAAGACTCGGGTTCCGATGCTCCAGTCATGGTAGAAGCCTCAAGAGATGTGGATGTCAAAATTGTAAATAAGAAATCTCATAATATACTGTCAGGTGTTGGGTCAAAGGTCAAGCACTCGATTGCCAAGGTGAAGAAAGTCATCACTGGTAAGGCTTCTCAGTGTTCTCACCCAAGGACACAAAGTCATCACTGGTAAGGCTTCTCAGTGTTCTCACCCAAGGACACAAAGGCATCACTGGTAAGGCTTCTCAGTGTTCTCACCCAAAGAAACAGCCACCAAAATGAACTAAAACAAAAAAAAAAAAACAAAAAATGGTGATATTAAACAGTTCATTTGATGGTTGGTTGATGCAAAATAAAATATGCAGAAAGGGCTTGCTGGTAGTTTAACCTTGTTATTAGATTACCAAGGTTTTAGTTTGGTGTGTATTTGTCCAGTTTGAATAAGTTCATAAATTTTATTTGTACAAAGTTAGTTAAAGGCTGACAGTTGTAATACATTATCAGTTTTCATATTGTGGACTACATTCCTGCTATACGTTTACAAGGCAGATGGACAACCCAAAGGTTCTTATGTTTATCATTAATTATCACTCTAAAGGAAGTATGTCAAAGTAAAAAATTTAAATTTAGAACGATGAACCAACATTCTAGCACACTTCAAATTGTAGACGACCAAAAAGTCTAAGAATAAGATAGGACTCACGATTCAGTCTTGGAAAGCATGTAACCTGCAACAAACTAAAAGACATGTGCGAAGATAAAGTATTCAAAAAAAAATAACATTGATTTAAGGCCTTTGCACCCAGGGAGAATTCTTCAAGAGTCAAGAATGAAATAAATTTGTACATTTTATCAATGGCAAAGATAAAGGCATGCATCTGTACAACAGCGTAATCCAAGTTTAAGATAATTAGATAAATAGGATGGCAAAGCTAAGAACGGCAGCAGCATGATTCACATTCAGCTAATTGCAGAAGCATATTCGAAAAGAAGTTAAAACCAAACAAAATGCACCAATCACTTCTCTCCAGGCTTCTGCTCCAAAATTTGTAAAGGATTAGAGATGGTCTGGAAAGCTATAAGTGAAGAGAATAAGCAATAGCAAGAAGCTCCTCATACTACACGTTAAAAGGTATCAAGCATGCGTTTTCATCACAAGATCATATATTAGGATACATACATGCATAAAATGACCATATGAGAACCACTGAAGAAAATCTGAATGTGCTCAATGCGTATATTTCTACACGACATTGCATATCAATATTCTCCTCGCATCAATGGGGCACTCTCCTAGTCTTCCTCAAAAGTCCAGCTCTAGTTTGGTATGAGTTTGATTGTTGTTGCCATTCACAAGCACCTTGTTAAAGCTATACTTCCTTGAGAAGTATATAAAAGTACCTTTCACCAGACCGACAACACTCTTTCTCATGGCTAAGTCAACCATCATGAAACAAGTTTTCGAATATCTTCGGTCTAGAACAATTCTCATGAACTATCTTAGAATCTGCATGAAGAATATGATCCAGCCTTAGGGATATAGCATGTGGGAGGACAAAAATTCCTCCCTGAGAAAGTTGAAAACCCATAATTTATCCATTTGACTTGGTAACATAGAAAGCCATCTTCTGTCATAATGTAAGCATAACTGCCTATCTAACATTTATAATTCATGTATTCATATCAAACATAGCCTCATACAGGCTGAAAATTGTGAATTTGCTAATCTTCAGGAAGATTATATCCAGAAGAAAGTCCATAACATTCACTCATGCAATCTCGAACTCCAGAGCCTCTGTATAAACTACAAAGATCTTTAGCCTACTAAAGATCCCAAGCATGCTAAATGAGAACTCATTACACGGACTCTTCTAATTGTGTGAAATATCCATTTCAGATACACTACACTAGGTATGGGTATAAGACGTGCTAAACATGACTGAATATGCACCTAATAAGCATATTTGCTACTTCTAGCTAATTATACGATTGAACATAGAAATCTATTATTTTGTTTCTTTTATTACAAAGTTACTTTAACTGAGTGTACCCATTTTAAACACCGTATGATACATAAAAGTCTAGTTTTTACACTACAAAGTAGAATAACATTAAACATAAATATATTTATTTGTATCCGCACGTCCTTGGATTTGAGTATTCAACAGATCTTACATTTAAACGCAAATTCGAACCTGACACATGTACCTAAGTTCATATAACATAGAGTGGAAATGCATCCTAGTTGAAGAGCTTTTTTATTCACTAAAAAGAAGCAACAAGACCAAATCATCCTTCCTGTACATCATAAGACTGATTCTGTCATGCTAAAACAAATTCCTTAGACTAAGCAGCCCAAAATATCACCTTGATTCGTAAACAGCATTTGAGAACAAGCAAAGATATCCTTATCAATTCGACATATATAACCAACGGGTCAGTGGCCTAGCAGTATTAGCCTCTTACTTCCCAAGGGAGGTCACGGGTTGAAGTCTCAAAAGAGAGAAGTGTGTGTGAGTATCAACTAGGAAAAAAATAAAAAATTTCCACATATAAAATTGAATTGAAGTACTGTCTGGTGTTGGTTATACGTTCAAATGCAATCTACCTCTAACGGTATATCCAAATCCATCTGCTTTCTTGCAATCTAATGCCTTAAATCACACAAGATAACAATGATAAGCATCTAAATAAATAAAAATGAAATATTATCACGCAATATGACTTAAGTTTTTAAGTAACACAATAATTGCTAATCAAAGAGTCATTAATTACACTGCGTGCAAAATAATCAATAGGATCATTATTAAGTTTGGGTTTAGGGTTTAGGTTTTAGGGTTTTAGGGTTTAGGATCATTATTAAGAAAAGACTTCGACTCAAATCCCATTCAATGTCTTAATTCATATAAAATATGTCATGTATGTGTGTATGTATGTGTAGATAGAGAAAAACGTACATTTATCAATGATATGAAGAAATATCTTTTGTTCAGCCATGGAGAATGGGAACGGGCGTGTATAAGATGTGGTGTTTTGCGTTAGAGAGAGAAATTTTTAATTCTCTCAGTCGTTTGCAGAGTTTCCTTGCTTTAGAACGTGACCGTGACGTCACAGTGCGCCATGTGAGCCCGGTGAGGAGAATGTCGGTAATGTGGTGTTTACGGTGGTAGTTACTTACAGCGGCAGCTTGTCGGCGGACCATTCTTGTAAGGGAGAATGTAGGGATTTCAATTTATTTTTATATTTCGGAAAATGTATTTCATATTTTTTATAATGTAGTTTTTTTGTTTTTTAAATAATAAAATCTCACACAACCTTTCAATAAATAAATAAATTATGGTCCTCACTAGTGAGGATTTATAACATACTGATGATATGGACCAATAATAAAAGAATATATAATATTTAATTAGCAAATCAGAGATTGTATGATTTATTACTACCTATGATTTGGTAATTAAAATAGGACGTACCAGATAATATGTTGTAAATCATCACTGATGAGAACCTAAGTACTGTCCCTTCAGAAAAATAATAAATTATCACACTATTTAAAATGAATTTTTACCCCCATTTGATGCATTGGATTGCTGTCTAGAAAAAGTTTTAAAATCATTATTTTTTAAAATATAATTTAAATCTTCAAATTAAAATCACTATTTTTTAAAATATAATTTAAATCTTCAAATTTTTATTTCACAAAAGCTTAGATCAATGGCCTTCTGAATTATATTTTTTTACTTTGTCTTATATGACATATGATATCCATCGCATATCCATGAGACAAATTCTGAATATTGAAAAAAAATCAAGTTCTAATTTGATAATATTGGAAATTTTGAATTGCAAATTGAATGTGATAGTTGAAAATTATGACTTTAATATATAAGTTAACATACAATTTATTGCAGTTTTAAAATTATTAAAATATCATAATATATATATATAGATATTACAGGTGTTTTACTTTCCTAGCTAGAAATTGGAACAAAAGAATTATATATATATATATATATATATATATATATATATATATATATATATATATATATATATGTATATATATATTGTGAATATAAGAATATAATTTTGTATTTACACATATAATTTTGTATTTACATAGTTTATTAATTATAAGAATATTGTAAATTATGGCTTATTATAAATTTATATTATACATATTAGCTTATAGTAACAAAGTTAATTACTTATACATTATATTGTAATTTTCATTATCATTGCCCATGTCTTGTGTGAATGGTATCGTAAATATACATCGTATTATGTAATAACATATACATACTATACACAAATATTAGAATATTATTTAATGTTATATAGTTTATCTTATATATTCACCGTATAGTGTATTATGAATATTCTTATAATATTCAATTAAAATTTCAAATAAAATATTATGTGTTTTATATTAGTATATTATTTTATAAAAAAAATATTATTATAAAATTTATTTTTATATAATTATTTATTTATTATATAATGTAATGTACTGGCAACTTTTTGTATAATAGATTATATAGTGTAATATTATTATATTTTATTTATTAGGGAGTTTTGTGAATTTAACCATTAACAAAAATTTAATGTGGAAGATATTTTAGTCGTAGTTAGTAAATGATACAGAACTGTATGTGTACGAATCAATTTTTGAAAAATATTTTTGTTTGTAGTTTAGGTTTCAAAGATACAATAAAATACGCGCGAATTTTACAATTAACACGAATTAAACAATTTTAAACATTTTGATATTTGTCCGTTATCATTTACTACGTTTTTTTATATGGGAAAATTACATATAAATGGAGTTAAAGTTCCATATTTACTTAGAGGCTGAGTCAAAGTTCCATATTTCTCTAAAATTGATTGCTGAGGTGGTACATGGTTTTTTACTGTTTAGAAATTGTGGTGCCTAAAATACCCTTCCGTGAAGGTACTATTTTTTCTTCGAAGGTACTACTTTTTGAACTGAAAGTACTACTTTTTGGTGTCCAGGTACCATGTTTTTTAAACACCCGCGAAGGTACTACTTTTTTGAACTGAAGGTACTACTTTTTTGTTAGGTAATGGCATTTTAGGCACCACAATTTTTTAAACAGTAAAAAACCATGTGCCACCTCAGCAATCCATTTTAGAGAAATATGGAACTTTAACTCAGTCTCTAAGTAAATATGGAACTTTGACTCCATTTATATGTAATTTTCCCTTTTTATATCCCAACAGTTTTGTTTTCCCAATGCACTTCTAATTCTATATTTTTCTCAAATACATTTTTTTTTCTATGGAATTTAGATATACACATTTTGTGAAGTATTAATTCTTAGATATTTTTGAATATATATATATATATACATTTTAAGATCTTTTATTCTTATTTCTTTATTTTTTGTAATGATAGATATTTATATATTTTTATTTTTTTTTATTTTTTAAGTTTATAGACATTTTAGTTGTAGAATGGGTCAATAACACTTTTAGAATTTAAGCATGTGCATAAATGCATTACGTGATATTC